ATGCATGCCACAGTCTTTTCACCCTTTCGAAATTGTGCTCTAAAGGCACTCCATAAATTTGCTTCATTTGAATATGTTTTTTTTTTATGGTGTGTGCCAGTGTTGATATTGAGACCTGATTGTTTTCATTGAAACTGGCATTTTACAGTGCTTACAGTTTTTTACAATGGCCATGACAGTTTTTTCAATACATTTAACAAGTTTGCTAAACTCTTAACGCAGCAACACACCTAAAACACACAATTGACAAAACAGTTAATTTTATGCTCAAAATCACACATTATAAACTAAACCTCTAAACTACTTTTCAAATTACAATAATAAACGAACACACTACACCATGTCTTACAAAACACTACAATCATGTTTCAAAATGACATTATTGTTCAAAACACAAACACATGTTCTCTTTCAACAGAAACATTCAGTCAATCAGAACACACTGACAATAAAAACACTATCATCAGCTAAAATTACAGAAACTGCATTAGTTTATGTGTCAGCTTTGACCTTATATTTTAAGACTCTCTACATTTTCACTTTGTTGGGTTTAGTAAATGCATGCATTTTCTTTATTTTACTGCAAAAGATCAATACAAAAATAAAGAAACAAAATGCTTTATAAAATGTACAGTTAATGTAAAAAAAAAAAAAATACAGACACAGAATTGCTGCAGTACAGACTTTATTTGAAAAAGGACATCACTGCAAGCTATACAAACAAAAAAAGCAAAGCAATTATAATAAAAAACTAAATAATTTTCTATACTGCCTGGTCTTCTGTATTTGCCCGACTTCTTCTCTGGCCCGGCAGGGTAACGATGGCCCTTTGGCCTATTATGTTTCTCCTACGGCGACGCCTTTTCGCCAAATTGAAGCCAGCCTCGTCAACATAGATAATTTCATGTGGGACTTGATTGACCTCCAATTTCATGACTCTCTAAAAGTAATTAGACACAGTGTAAATGGTTCACTGTACTATAACTAATGTATGCACGCCAGGTTTGTAGAGTAGGTTACTGCAAAACACACTGTGTATAGTACTGTAAAGTAGTAAAGTAATGACTGTATTGCATAACCTTATCTGGACATATTGGTGACGGAGTTTTGCAGTGTGCTCACTGTTCCTTTCAAAAACCTCATGAGTCCTTTTTTAGAACATACAGTATGATCATGTGATTTTAAAAATCTCAACACATGAGTGTGTTTTCTAGATGGGAATCATGTTCATATGGGAGATGGGAGCTGTCATATATATATATATATATATATATATATATATATATATATATATATATATATATATATACATACATACATTTATGTATATATACATGTGTGTGTATGTATGTGTGTGTGTGTGTGTGTATATATATATATATATATATATATATACATACATACATTTATGTATATATACATGTGTGTGTGTGTGTGTGTGTGTGTGTGTGTATATATATATATATATATATATATATATATATATATATATATATATAAATATGACAGCAGATTCCCATCTAAAAAAAAATGTGTTGTGGTTTTTCAAATCACATGATCATACTGTATGTTCAAAAAGAGGACTCATGAGGTTTTTGAAAGGAACAGTAATCCTAAAAAACTGTAATATAATATATGCTCTGCTTGCTTATCCACTACAGACAAAAGAGATACTCTCAGAAATAAAGGTACAAAATATTTGACTCTGTGGTACCCTTTCAAAAGAAATTTTAACTGGGTCAGTTGGCGTTTCTGTGTGGAGTTTGCATGTTCTCCCTGCGTTCGTGCGGGTTTCCTCCGGGCTCCGGTTTCCCCTACAGTCCAAAGACATGCGGTAAAGGTGAATTGGGTAGACTAAATTGTCCTAGTTTATAAGTGTGAATGAGTTTGTGTGGATGTTTCCCAGAGATGGGTTGCGGCTAGAAGGGTATCTGCTGCATAAAAAACATGTTGGATAAGTTGGTCGTTCATTCCGCTGTGGGGACCCCAGATTAATAAAAGGGCTAAGCCGAAAAGAAAATGAATGAATTAATGAATGTATAAATGAATGAATGAATGAATGAATGAATGAATGAACTTTTACAAAGATATTTTTGTGAAAATTGGAGAAAAAAATGTTTGAGAGAATTGCATGGGAGAATGGACTGCTGTAACATTTTTGTGAAAGGGTTGTAAAATGTTTAGCAAAAAAATAGATATTTTGATTTATGTTAAAGGCTTTTTAATTCTTTATTATATATGGAAAAGATGCCTTTACACAAAAATAAACTTTGGTAACACTTTATTTTGATGGTCCATTTGAGTATAAGTAGACTGTCTGCTTTAGATTTGTTGTTTCTTCAACTGAGATTTAACTGACTATAAGAAACTTTGCAAATATGTAAAAATTTATTTGTTGTTTTATATTTGCTGAAAATAAATTGATGCATTTTGGATAGAGCAAAATGCCTTTAAATAGTTCCAGAAGGAACACATTTGACACAATTAGGGTACAAAGTGTCTTGTAACTGTAGTGGTACCTTCATGGATCGGATTTGTACCTTTGGTGAAGGTACAATAGTAAATCTTCAGATTTTAAAAACCAAAGGTACATTTTGGTTTCCCAGGGTACAAATCATGTCCTTAAATAACAAGAAACAAACTGCAATGGCACAAATTTGTTTCTTTGTCTTAAGGTACAACTCTGTTCCATAAAAAATACTGCCCCCAGTGAAAAGGGTTTGTACCTACTATGGTACAACATTAATTCTTAAATTAAACCATTACAGATTCAAAAATGGTTTGGGGTGTTATACTGTACCAAAACTATCTTTAGACCACTCAAAATTACAAAAAAGTTTGTCACCTTGGAATTATAAGTTTATCTGCGTCCTAAATGATTTTAAGATATTGAGCTTTCCATAGCAAACAATATGTGAGTAACATTTATTTTTTTTAAAAAGTCTTAAAATGTAAACAACTTATAAAAAACATCCCATAATGTAAATAAGTTGTCATTTACTAAGAATACGTCAATAACCTAATTTTGACAAAATTGTCAGATAAGAAATCTTATAAGGTGACAAGTACACAAAGCCATTCTGAATTATTATCTTTTAGATTATGATTTACAATGTGACATTACAGATATTTCATAATCAACATTATTTATCTGTTTAAAAACACTTAAGTGTTTTTAATTTACAAAATGTTCCATTAGTTAATGTTTAATGTCCTATTTGTTAGCATGAACTGATTGTTAGTTCATAATTCAGTCTAATTAAAAAAATAACATGAACAACTTTAGGTTTTATTAATTCAAATTTGGTCTAAATGTTGAACTTAATAAATGTTGTACAAGTATTGTTCACTCTTAGTTCATGTTGGTTAATACATAAACTAATCATTTACTAATATGGACCATTACTGTAAAGTGCTACTTTGAAATCATGTGACTTCACAGAGTTGGTTGAAACCAATGACCAACAGATGTCGCCACTTGTAAAAAAAAAAAAAAAAAAAAGCAAATAAAACCATAAGGATACATGACATGTATATGCTAATGTTTATATGACATTTATGTGTGTTTAGGTCTATAAATTAAAATTGCCAAAAAGCCTATGCATAACTGCACAACGTTCATCAGATGTGTATAATTTGTATAGCTAGATAAACTAAACGAGTTAGCTAGAATGTTTTTCTTTTATTTTTGCATTCATTTTATAGAATCAGCTTTTAATTTACTAACCTGCCACTGCTCCTTTTTTTCAGTCTTCTCAACAGCATAGACATACATTTTATATAATTGTTCCTTCACAGATTCATAGGAATAGCTTAAGCTAGATATTCTAAACGTAACTGTATTGTCATATAATACTTTATATTCAGGACACACCTTAAAAAACACGAATGGTTTGAACAGTTTTACTATCTAGACTATTTTAATCGTGAAAACAATTCAGTCTGTTGGACAAAAATTATAATGTGGTTATAATATAATGATTTGCTGCTTAACTTACACGACGTGCACGATGTCCTTCTGCAATACTAAATAAATAAAAATAAAAAACCTTCCCTTTCATTTATATCATAAATCTTTAGTTGCTGATATAATGCTACATATCAGAGAGCCTTTATCTTTGATTACATCATAACGTCTTTCATGCATTTGTTTCAGATTTATGGAGACACTAATCATTTGATTGATAATTGATGTCATGTTCCGCATACTTTTCCACCACAGACATTAGAGATACTCTGAAATTAAGATTCTAAGAAATAAAAAATATTACCCTGTGCCTACAGTACACTTTTAAAAGAAACAATATTGTACTTTTTAAGTACTACTATATTTTTAATGTACATGTGAAGTACAATATATACCAATTTAGTTATATTACACAGTAAAAAATGAGTAGGGTTTACTGTAAAAAAAGCTTGAAAACTATTTTCACTCAGTAAAAGCTAGTAAATCTTCAAAGTTTGCCAAGTAAAAGATTAAAAATAATTATTAGTATGTTTAATGAGAAATTTTAAGTTTAATTAAGATTTTCAAATATTGACTTTTAGTTTGTAAAATTTACTTAAGTCATGCATTTAAATATACAGTATTACAATTTATGAATTTATTTTTTTTATTCAAGATTCCTATTTATCTTTAGGCATCCTGAGTAAACTTTTCTTCAAAATTTTACATAAAATATTATTTTATACAATTGGACGCATTGCAACTCTTTCTTAATTAAAAACACTGTTAGACATTTTCATTGAGTACTTTAACTTTAATTATACTGTTATTATACAGATTTTAAGGGTCCTCTAAGAGAATGATGGGTCATCTATGTTGACATCTTCCTTGAAGTACAAAAGTGTTGTGTAGTAGCACATTATATGAAATAGCAAAGATTTCTGTTTTAAGAAAGCACTTTTGCAAACATTATTTCATTATTCATTTTATTTTATCATCTTATCAATATATAGATAAAATGTTTCTCAGAGTGAAGAAAATAAATGAACCAGGGAACAGTTGAGAATCACTTTATTTAATGGATTTTAATTACATTGTCACGCTGAACATCTAAAGCAGTGGTCACCAAACTTTTTTCTGGAGGGCCGGTGTCCTGCAGATTTGAACTCCAACCCTAATCAAACACACCTGAACAAGTTAATCAAGGTCTTACTAGGTATACTTGAGACATCCAGGCAGGTGTGTTGAGGCAAGATGGAGGTAAACCCTGCAGGGACACCGGCCCTCCAGGACCAGGATTGATGACCCCTGATCTAAAGTCTCAATATATGTGTATTGTACTTTGTACTGTTAATCTACCAAAGTTAATGATTTGTTAAGTATTTTTTGACATAGTCCATGTCACTGTCATCTACATCCTTGACCATCTTTGAGACATCTGTGGAGGGAAATTCAGAGTTTTAATTCAGTTTGTTATTATTCATTTTTAAATAACGTACAATAATGTGCTACTCAAATAATCTCAAGAGTTGAATCTGATTCTCACCTTTGTTGTTGCTTTTAAGCAGATCTTTCCTCATCACTGTCTTGCCTTTTTTTGTTCTGTTGAAACAGTGAGAATGTCAGTTCATGGCTTTAATGTCCTGTTTTGGGAAGAAAATGTGACTACAATTGACTGGTTTCTGTTCAGTAGTTTTAGAATTGCTTCTACAAAAGAGGAAGGAACAGATTTACAGTAAGTGAGCTATAAGGATTCAAAATAGCCATGCATGTAAGCAACAAAATGTGTTTTTATAAATTTATTATCTTTAAATTGTATTATTCAATGATTTTTGTGTTTTTGTATTGTTATACGGCTATTCCAATAACTGTGTTTATTTTATAATTATTATGTAATTTATGAAAAATATAAATCAGAATTTTAACTATGTCAGTAAATGTGTGGCGAGATCTGGTCAGCAGAACAAAAAAATTGGGTGTGAAACAACCTGAGGGTTCATTTATGGGTGAACTACTCCTTTAAAAAATCATTTAAATCACTGGTAACTTTACACAATTAAAGGAAACTTTCAACTTTAGGATCTTAGTGGTTAAAGATGAATGTTGTAGACCCTTCATTAACAGGTCAAATCCTAGAAAGGCAACTGCATGAGCTTTCACCACAAGTGTACAATAGTTCTACACAATAGAATCCAAAAAGAGGATTCTGTCATTTCCTGTGAAAGAAGTGAAAGTGAAAAAGTTTTCAGTTACAATAAACGCTGTCCATGTGTTTCTTCTAAAGCTTAAAGGGTTTGTGTGGTGAATAATAAACCAAAATGTTTCACAAATGTTCAAATAAGAAACCTGTCTCATTCCAGACTATTTTAGCTGAAACTCTACAGACAAGTTCTGGCGACACCAAAGTCTTTTCTTACATCTTATAACAAGGTCTTAATTCTTTTTACACTATAGTCTATTGTGGAATCCCCATTGTGGAATCCTTAAAGAATGTCAGTAGTTGTAAATTATATGCAACAAATTCATATGAACCAAAATAGATAATTATTAACATATATTTGAGAACAATACGTTTCTTAAAATAAATTACCAGAGATTTACAGAAGATTTCAGTGTTTCTCACCTGTGACATAATACTGGGTAACTGGTTCCAGAGATCTCCAATGAATGTCTGAATGAGGATTTACACAATCATTACAACACAAATATTATTGAGCTAAAATAACTCTTAACAGTTATCTACAGTACTGACTGTATGTGTAAAAGTGGCTGTCTACTCATTCTTATGACATGACTTCAGTGCTAAGGGTTTTTCTTATTAGCCCAACCACACAAGCCCTACAACCCAACCCTTATTAAGATAAGTATATAAACCCTACCCATCATCTTATTTATGGACTTATACAGTGCATTTGGAAAGTAATCATAGCGCTTCACTTTTTCCACATTTTTTAATGTTACAGCCTTATTCAAAATGGATTAAATTCATTAATTTCCTCAAAATTCTACACACAACACTCCATAATGACAATGTGAAAAAAAACTGAACTTGTTGCAAATATATTAAAAATAAAAAATCTGAAAAAACACACGTACATAAGAATTTACAGCCTTTGCTGTGAAACTCTAAATGGAGCTCAGGTACATTCTGTTTCCACTGATCATTCTTGAGATGTTTCAGCTGATTAAATTTGGGTTGACAATGCATGTCAAAGCACAAACCAAGCATGAAGACAAAGGAATTGCCTGTAGACCTCTGAAATAGGATTGTCTCGAGGCACAAGACTGGAGACGGTTACAGAAATAATTCTGCTGCTCTGAAAGTTCATATGAGCACAGTGACCTTCATCATCCGTAGAAGATGTTTGGAAACACCAGGACTCTTCCTAGAGCTGGCCGGCCGTATAAGCTGAGTGATCGGGGGTAGAAAAGCCTTACAGTCAGGGAGATGATCAATAACCCAATGGTCACTCTGTCTGAGCTCCAGCGTTCTTCTGTGGAGAGAGGAGAACCTTACAGAAGCACAACCATCTGTGCAGCAATCCACCAATCAGACCTGTATGGTAGATGGCCAGTTGGAAGCCACCTGGAATTTGTCAAAAGGCATGTGAAGGACTCTTAGACCATAAGAAACTAAATTCTCTGGTCTGATGAGACTAAAATTGAACTCTTTGGAGTGAATGCCAGGTGTTAAGTTTGTAGAAAACCAGGCACTGATCATTACTAGGCTAATACCATCCCTACAGTGAACCGTGGTGGTGGCAGCATCATGCTGTGGGGATGTTTTTCAGCAGCATGAACTGGAAGACATCCTGAATGAAAACCTGCTTCATAGTGCACTGGACCTCAGAATGGGGTGACGGTTCATCTTCCAGCAGGACAATGACCCAAAGCACACTGCCAAAATATCAATGGAGTGGCTTCACAACAATTTGGTGATTGTCCTTGAGTGGCCCAGACACAGCCCAGACCTAAATCCTATTGAACATCTCTGGAGAGATCTGAATATGGCTGTACACCGTCGCTTCCAACCTGATAGAGCTTGAGAGGTACTGCAAAGAGAAATGGGCAAAAATTCCCAAATACAGGTGTGCCAAGCTTGTGGCATCATATTCAAAAGGCCTTGAGACTGTAATCGCTGCCAAAGGTGCATCAACAAAGTATTGAGCAAAGGCTGTGAATACTTATGTACATGTGATTTTTCAGTTTTTTAAATAAATTATTCACATTGTCATTATAAGGGTGTTGTGTGTAGAATTTTGAGGAAATTAATGAATTTAATCCATTTTTGAATAAGGCTGTAGCATAAAAAAAATTGAAAAAAGTGAAGCGCTATGAATACTTTCCAGATGCACTAACCTATAATACTTTGTTTAACTTATATCACATAATAAATATATATTGAGGAAACTTTAGAGATACTAAGACCTCAAGATTTTTTTTAGATTTTCGAGTGGATAATATAAACTGTAATATTAGACAGATATACCACTGATACGTTTATGGTACCTTTTGCCAATGAATTTGACTGCTATAGCCTAGATATGTTGTGTTAAAAAAAAAAAAAAAACTGTGATCCGGAATAAACTGTAAGATGTAGTTGTAAATGATATGCACCTAAACAGATAATAACATAAATTTGAAAACAATACATTTTTATTATTATTTTCCAGAGATTTCCAGAAAGTGATTGTTGTCAGTGTTTCTCACCTGTGATATAAAACTGGATAACCTGTTCCAGCAAGGTCCAATGAATGGCAAGTTGAGGATTGTCTGGAGAATTACACAATCATTACAATAAAAATATTATGAGCTTATTCTTAACAGTTATCTACAGTACTGACTATATGTGTAAAAGTGTCTGTCTACTCATTCTTATGACATGGCTTCAGTGCTAAGGAATTTTCCTAAAGGCCCTACCATAAAAGGATATTAGCCCTACCTAATAAGTAAGATAAGATAGCTGTTTACTATACGTGTAATTAAAATGTTCAAAAAATGTTTGGAATTAGGTGTGGAAGTACAGTATTTCCTTACTGCAAATAAACACTTACACTATTGTTATAAGGGAAAACTAACCAGTTTTACACTACTAATACTACACAATTATTACAATTATTTATACAGTCCAAGAAGGTCTTAAAGTGGATTTTATACAGTGAGAAAAAAGGATATAGCAGTATTTCCCCCTACAATCTGCAGGCTTATCTAGGTCAAATACTAAAATGGACTTTTTTTCCTATTAACTTTATAACATCTCCTCTCTTGTTTTTTTCTACATGCAGTGATCAGTGATGGAATGAACCATACGATTTTCTGTAGTTGTAAATTATATGCAACAAATTCATATTAATTAAAATAGATATTTAATAATATCAATTTAAGAATGAATACAAAATCTTTAATAACTGGTTTCCAGAGATTTCCAGAAGATTACTGTGGTCAGTGTTTCTTACCTTTGATAAAAAACTGAGTAACCTGATCAAAAAGGTTCCAATGATTGGCAAGTTGGCGATTGTCTGAAGGGAGAATTATACAATCATTACAACACAAATATTATTGAGATAAAAATTATTCTTAACAGTTATCTACAGTACTGACTATGTGTAAAAGTAGCTGTCTACTCATTCTTATCACATGGCTTCAGTGCTAAGGAATTTTCCTAAAGGCCCTACCATAAAAGGATATTAGCCCTACCTAATAAGTAAGATAAGATAGCTGTTTACTATACGTGTAATTAAAATGTTCAAAAAATGTTTGGAATTAGGTGTGGAAGTACAGTATTTCCTTACTGCAAATAAACACTTACACTATTGTTATAAGGGAAAACTAACCAGTTTTACACTACTAATACTACACAATTATTACAATTATTTATACAGTCCAAGAAGGTCTTAAAGTGGATTTTATACAGTGAGAAAAAAGGATATAGCCGTATTTCCCCCTACAATCTGCAGGCTTATCTAGGTCAAATACTAAAATGGACTTTTTTTCCTATTAACTTTATAACATCTCCTCTCTTGTTTTTTTCTACATGCAGTGATCAGTGATGGAATGAACCATACGATTTTCTGTAGTTGTAAATTATATGCAACAAATTCATATTAATTAAAATAGATATTTAATAATATCAATTTAAGAATGAATACAAAATCTTTAATAACTGGTTTCCAGAGATTTCCAGAAGATTACTGTGGTCAGTGTTTCTTACCTTTGATAAAAAACTGAGTAACCTGATCAAAAAGGTTCCAATGATTGACAAGTTGGCGATTGTCTGAAGGGAGAATTATACAATCATTACAACACAAATATTATTGAGATAAAAATTATTCTTAACAGTTATCTACAGTACTGACTATGTGTAAAAGTAGCTGTCTACTCATTCTTATGACATGGCTTCAGTGCTAAGGAATTTTCCTAAAGGCCCTACCATAAAAGGATATTAGCCCTACCTAATAAGTAAGATAAGATAGCTGTTTACTATACGTGTAATTAAAATGTTCAAAAAATGTTTGGAATTAGGTGTGGAAGTACAGTATTTCCTTACTGCAAATAAACACTTACACTATTGTTATAAGGGAAAACTAATCAGTTTTACACTACTAATACTACACAATTATTACAATTATTTATACAGTCCAAGAAGGTCTTAAAGTGGATTTTATACAGTGAGAAAAAAGGATATAGCAGTATTTCCCCCTACAATCTGCAGGCTTATCTAGGTCAAATACTAAAATGGACTTTTTTTCCTATTAACTTTATAACATCTCCTCTCTTGTTTTTTTCTACATGCAGTGATCAGTGATGGAATGAACCATACGATTTTCTGTAGTTGTAAATTATATGCAACAAATTCATATTAATTAAAATAGATATTTAATAATATCAATTTAAGAATGAATACAAAATCTTTAATAACTGGTTTCCAGAGATTTCCAGAAGATTACTGTGGTCAGTGTTTCTTACCTTTGATAAAAAACTGAGTAACCTGATCAAAAAGGTTCCAATGATTGGCAAGTTGGCGATTGTCTGAAGGGAGAATTATACAATCATTACAACACAAATATTATTGAGATAAAAATTATTCTTAACAGTTATCTACAGTACTGACTATATGTGTAAAAGTGGCTGTATACTCATTCTTATCACATGGCTTCAGTGCTAAGGAATTTTCCTAAAAGCCCTACCATAAAAGGATATTAGCCCTACCTAATAAGTAAGATAAGATAGCTGTTTACTATACGTGTAATTAAAATGTTCAAAAAATGTTTGGAATTAGGTGTGGAAGTACAGTATTTCCTTACTGCAAATAAACACTTACACTATTGTTATAAGGGAAAACTAATCAGTTTTACACTACTAATACTACACAATTATTACAATTATTTATACAGTCCAAGAAGGTCTTAAAGTGGATTTTATACAGTGAGAAAAAAGGATATAGCAGTATTTCCCCCTACAATCTGCAGGCTTATCTAGGTCAAATACTAAAATGGACTTTTTTTCCTATTAACTTTATAACATCTCCTCTCTTGTTTTTTTCTACATGCAGTGATCAGTGATGGAATGAACCATACGATTTTCTGTAGTTGTAAATTATATGCAACAAATTCATATTAATTAAAATAGATATTTAATAATATCAATTTAAGAATGAATACAAAATCTTTAATAACTGGTTTCCAGAGATTTCCAGAAGATTACTGTGGTCAGTGTTTCTTACCTTTGATAAAAAACTGAGTAACCTGATCAAAAAGGTTCCAATGATTGGCAAGTTGGCGATTGTCTGAAGGGAGAATTATACAATCATTACAACACAAATATTATTGAGATAAAAATTATTCTTAACAGTTATCTACAGTACTGACTATGTGTAAAAGTAGCTGTCTACTCATTCTTATGACATGACTTCAGTGCTACAGGATTTTCCTATAAGACTTACCATACAAGTTCAAATATTGAAACTGACTTTCTTTCTATAAACACTATGACTTCTCCTCTCTTGGTTTTTCTCATTTGACTATAATTACAGTATTATAGAATTACAGCAATATTTAATGTTTTGGATTCTCTGTGTATCAATACATATTTTTTGTATTATGTGTTTTTTTGTTTATTGTAGCTATTGTTTCTCACCAGTAATAAACAAATTGTCAATATGAGAAAGGAGGTTGGTCTAGATTGTTTCTGTATAAAAAACATTACAAATACAATTAGGAAAAATACTGCTAATTTTGAATTTATTGCAAAGGATTTACTAAAAAAAAGTTTACTCAAATATTGTGCACACATTTCTCTTTTAATATCAATGAATTATAATCTATTATAATGTTTTCGAAGTTGAAATATATTAGACAAAATTAATTTTCACTCATCTTTGAGCTTGAAATAAATGATACCTGATGCTTGAAACATGTAACAATTTTGTCCAGTGCTTCATCATTTATGTTGCATCGTAACAACCTTGTGTCAAAGAAAAGGCAGTCCACTGTAAGCGTGTTCATCCTCTTTACAAATGTGCTGCTGTCTAGTACAACTCTCTCAGGGTCAAACGTTTGATGCAGGACTATGAAAATAGCTGGCTTGAATGCTGTTTCAAACAAAGACACAATAAGATGGTCAGTGGTGTTTCTGCTTCTATCAGTACATAAATATCTTCTGCAACAGTAAACTTCTGTCTGTTACCTGACAAGTCATTAAGTTTTTTCAGAGCAGCATCAATGTCAGTTCCTGCCCGTGAAATAATGGGGCATAAAACCAAGATCACATCACACTGGTCCACACTGTATACCTGAACCAGGTTAGGTCTTTGCTGCTGGAGATGACTTAAAATATGCGTGGGTAAGTTGTCAGTACTGCCCGACTCAATTACATAGTAGTATTTTCCTTTAAGACAAAAACAACAACAATAATGCTATTTTATTAGCAAAGATTTTGTGCCTAACACAACTAATAATGAAAATTATAAACTGTAACTAAAGCTTGACATTTTTTTCTATATTAGCTAAATAGTGTGCTTCTGGGTTAGGGCACAAATATATTAAGGTTTAAAAATAAAAAATAGATTTTTTGTAATGTACAGTAATATTTCAAAGTCTCACCAGGAATGGCTTTGAGCTGGCTCATTTTCCCTCTTTCTCCTTCTCGTCTTTTGTAGTAAGCTGCTGTTTAGTGTCACCCTGAAATAGTAAATGTAAATACACAATTATTTTTGGATTTTACATTTTCATAAAGTAGTCAGAGCAATTAAAATAATAATAATAAAAAGATTTCGAGTGAAAAAAAATCACACAGTCACACATTTTTCTTAAGGTTAGATTTTTGATATTGCATTTAGCAAATATAAATTATCATAAAAAATATATTAATTAAAAACGTGTCTACAATTTTTTATGGAATTGACATTTATTGCAAAGTTAAATTATTGCATTTTAATCAGTATATATATATATATATATATATATATATATATATATATATATATATATATATATATATATATATATATATATATATATATATATATATATATATATATATATATATATATATATATATATATATATATATATAGTTGAAATCATAATTATCAGCCCCCCTGTTCATTTTTTTCCCCCAATTTCTGTTTAACGGAGAACAGATTTTTTAACACATTTCTAAACATAATAGTTTTAATAACTCATCTTTAATAACTGATTTACTTTATCTTTGCCATGATGACAGTAAATAATATTTGAATAGATATTTTTCAAGACACTTCTATACAGCTTAAAGTGACGTTTAAAAGCTTAACTAGGTTAACTAGGCAGGTTGAGGTAATTAGGCAAGTTATTGTATAATGATGGTTTGTTCTGTAGACAGTCAAAAGAAATAGCTTAAAGGGCTAATAGTTTTGACCTTAAAATGATGCTTAAAAAATTAAAAACAGCTTTTATTTTTGCCAAAATAAAACAAATAAGATTTTCTCCAGAAGAAAAAATATTATCAGACATACTGTGAAAATTCCCTTGCTCTGTTAAACTTCATTTTAGGAAATAATTAAAAAAGAAAAAAAAATTAAAAGTGGGCTAATGACTGACTTCAACTGTGTGTATATATAAACATAAACACAATTAAATGATTATCTCATATTTGTATCATTTGATTATTTTATTCTTTTTTTAAATAAAAATATTTAAGGGCTTTTTAACTTTTAATTACTTTTGTATTGGCTTACCAATTGGTCATTTAGAGCAATTTTTTATTTACTTATTCAAATACCTTTAACTTAAAATCACTTTCAGTCTCGTTGAAAAAGTCAGATTTGTTTCGCCTGAATGCTGACTGTATAGAGGTCGCCGTTTACGTTGACGTTCAATCCTCTCAAAACAAAATAAGCATAGGCTACAACATATTCTGAAACACATCCGTACAGACGGTCAGAAACATTAACACATTTGTCCATAGCTAGCAGACAGCATTAAGTCTACTTACTGTTCCTGCAGCTTTCTGTCCCGTCTCAGATTTATTAATCCTTTCACTTTCAATGTTGCTCTTTATACTGCAGCATATAACTGGCCAACAAAAACCGCCAGTGTGGACCGTTGTCCTTCCCCCACACAAACAAAATAGAACAGACGGTGCTTGATTTGTGAGTTTTGAGGTCCCGATGTTACGGTTTAACGGGTGACCCTTTCCAGATGTAAGCTATTTACGTTTGGCAGATTGGCAGATTCGTTACTTTTTCCACAGCAACAAAACATGCCTATACCAAAATAATAATAATAATAATAATAATAATAATAATTCTTATTAGGCTACTTGTGTCAGTGTCAATGTGCATTCTTGATCTTAATATCTGTAGCAGAACAGTATATAACCAAAATTAATATAAAAATATAATAATTTAATAATAAATAAATATTTTAACAATAATAATAATACTAATTTAATAATAATTTACATGCCATCGACGGATTCGAACTCGTGTAGTCAAGATTCTGCACACACAGATGTTAACATGTTGTTTAGCTACATGTAACTCGCGTTAACATGTTTACAAACTCTCCCGCTTACAGAAGAAGAGCTCTGAAGGACAAAACGATGTTTCAAATGGTCAAACCACGTTTTTTCATAGTTGATTGTAGACTCGTGTACCTGTGCCTTGGACTCGTGTTAACTCGTAACACATGTAACGTAGGGTGAATTCGGGTAATCTGGGACATTTTTTTTGCAATTTTGACTTCAGCTCTCTATTACAATGTTAAACTAATTAAAACCACATATTAGACATTTCTGAAATCCCTGTTTTTCAACCACCTAAGAAAACATAATATATTATACTGAGAAGAGCCATGCCACACTGTTAATATTTTTGTGTCAAAAACAAAAATTCTGCCTGAATTTGGTAATCTGGGACATTATGTATTTGGGCTGAAAAAGTATATATTTGCCATATTTATGCATGCCAAACACAATTCTACCAAATTTTAAAAGGCGTGGAGTGTGTGTGTGTATGTTGTGTGTGAGTTTGTGTACAGAACATTGTACATTGCATATTTGTAGTCATTAAACATATAAAGTCTCTAAATGCATATTTCTCCCATTCCAAGGCTGTCCCAGATTACACAAACTATCCCACATTTTCAATCATATTTGATAATGTGGGACAACAAGAAAAAAATGTTTGAAATAAAAAAAAAAAAAAAAACATTTTCAACACTTTAATACATATTTTGTTAATTGAATAGATCACAAACATCATTTGACAACAATTGGGAACATTGTCTAATTTATGACAGGTTTATGTCTTTAACATTAATCTAGTCAGAATCCAATGTCACTGACCTTGTCATCCAATTTTTATGAGAGCTTCCTGATTACCAAGTGCCCCCCCCCCCCCCCCCAATGAAGTCATGTGATATAAGAATAAAATAGAATAAAGAATAAAAGTCTTGTTGCCTGAATTTTGATAGAACACAAATAAACACAAAGAAGCTTAGGTGTCCCAGATTACCCAAATTTACCTTACATAAAGATTTTACAAAAAAATAATAATACAATATTATTATGCAACATTTTATGTCTAATATTTCTAATATATAGCCTAACGTTTGCAGATTGACAGAGGTTTGATGACCACTAAGTGACAGCGCTCTTCAAATCTTTTGAAGAAATTGAAGTTTTCGTGGTGACGCGGTGGCACAGTAGGCAGTGCTGTTGCTTCACAGCAAGAAGGTCGTTGGTTCAAGGCTCGGCTAGGTCAGTTGGCATTTTTGTGTATAGTTTGCATGTTTCCCTGCGTTCGCTTGGGTTTCCTCCAGGTGCTCAGATTTCCCCCACAAGTCCAAAGACATACGGTACAGGTGAATTGGGTAAGCTAAATTGACCGTATTGTATGTGTGTGAATGAGTGTGAATGGATGTTTCCCAGTGATTGGTTGCAGCTGGAAAGGCATCCGCTGCGTAAAACGTGCTGGATAAGTTGGCGGTTCATTCCGCTGTGGTGACCCCGGATTAATAAAGGGACTAAGCCGAAAAGAAAATGAATGAATGAAGTTTTAGTTGTTCTTTCTGGAAGGTTGACATGTAAAAAAGTATAACATTAGCTGCACAGATTATACATGGTCCCACATTTATTAGTCTCAGGACACAAGACAAGATAAAAAATATTTGTCTATTCATGTTGAGAGCTTACGGTAACATGTACAAAATTCTCAAAAAGTCTATTTATAATCTATTGAGATTTAGTTGTCATGTAGATTAATTGTAACTTAAATTCAACAAACAGATCATTAAAATAAAGTGGGACCAATATAACAGGCAGCAAAATAAAACAAGGGTGTCAATTATTTCTCCCCTTGTTAGTACGAAGACTTTTTTATCTAGTCAGATACTTTAGTATACATATTACTTTCGTAGGATTTTCGCTCTTCTACTTATTGCTTTACTATTATAAACATATTTCCAATTACATTATAGGGTTGTTGAATGCTTGATTCTGATTGGGTACTGAGCATTCTAAGGTGTGCAGCTATTTTCAGATAAACGCACAGCCTAAGTATAGTTCCAGGTCATAACTGCATTAAAGTTCAATTATGCTAAATAATTTAAATTTTTTCAAAATATTTCACAGCCTATTGAAGAGTAAAAAACTAATAAAAACAAAAGACTTTAAATGAGATGCTTAAGAAACTTTTTGTTTAAATGTGGTAAAAAACGGACTCTATTGCATTATTAGAAATCCACTTCTCTTTAACTCACGTGTGTGCATTTCTTCTGATAAACACCATTAACAGTTATTCTCTACAACATGCTAATTGTATATCTCCCAGATTTCATAGCATTTTTCAGTTTGAGACAGTAAATAAGATATTTTCACAATCAGGACACATTTTATTTCGTAATTTGCAACCAACATCCAAAAATAATTATAGAAAAATAAATATTAAATTAACTTTAAGCATCTAAAATGCTTTTTTATGTTGTAGTTTCTTTCTTTCTTTTTTTCTTTCTTTCTTTCTTTCTTTCTTTTTTTAATAGTAGCAATTCAGTGCTAATATGACTTCCCAATAATGTCTCAAGGTTAATGCTGTTCATGCAGCTAAAGCTCAATTATCTATGTGCATGCACCTATTAACATTAACACATTACATCCTATTTTAGCTTAATGTTGTTAATATTGAACGCATTAATGTCTCCTCTGTGATTTCAGAAATGACACACTGACACATTATTCAGCCATTATAGTCTGTGTTCAACGTCACCTGATCTGTGTGGGAAAAAAATCTGAATTCAGTTAACTCTTGCAAATGACAAATGCAATAGTATCCAAATAATCTCATGCCTAAAATGTGGTACTTACGCTCCAGGTTTATCATATCACTGCTTTCATCCAATCTGTCATCTGTTCTCATAAAAGAGAATTTTAATGCACCTCTTAATATGAATCAAACTGGTCTACTGTACATAAAGGTGTTTCATTAGGACAGAACATCACAAAAAAGATGAATGTTTCTTACCTTTACTAAACATAAAATACACTAAAACAATGACAGCGATGGTTGCAATGATTAAAAATTTACTCCATCGTTCCTACAACACATATATTAAGCTGTATTATTATCATTACATTAACTTTTTAAACAATTAGAACATGGAATAGTGACTTAAAAATGAATAACTCAAAAAACATCAGTTTAGTCTCTGCAAACATAATGTACTGAATTAACAATAATACTGCAGACCAGTGCTAGTTATGATGTTTGCATTACAATCCTCAAGTGACAAATATGGGGCCTGTTTCGGTAAAGAGGTTCAACTAACTCTGAGTTTAAACTTGAACCATGAGTTTACCGAGAGATTAAAAACTCAGAGTTTTGAGTTTCAGAACAGCGGATCTGAATTAGGTCAATCAACTTTGAGTAGTGCGCACACCATGACTATAAAAAGGCATTATCAATGGAACGCAGATATTACGATTGACCATGACAACATCTAAAAAAAAAAAAAGAGAGATCTTTCTCCAGCTGAACTTTATGTGCTCATGCAAAGTTATAGCAAATATGACCACATATTTAAAAAGCAACACCACTGCATCAGTGAAACAGAGACAGTTAGCATGGGAAAACATAGCTGCTTAAGTTAATACGCAATTTTAAATCTAAAATATTTAAGTATAATAAAAAAGTAATGTAATGTGTGACATTTACCTTTTACACGTTGATCAGTCGTAATAGATTTAAAAGTGCACTTGTGTGTCTGCCTTTACTATTGATCAAGTGATAGAGGTTGATTTGCCATTTAGAATGTAAGCAGAACTAAACAATAGTTTTTAGAACAAATAATAATCCCATTTATCTAGATACAGTACATGTAGAAGAACAGTGAATATAAGGGTCACTTTGTTCTTTGCGTGACTGAAATGTAGGCAATAGCTGTGTTTCCATCCAAAAATATTATTTAAATTTATGTGCAAAACTGGAATATAAGACATGCGAATAAAGCAGAGAGAACAAAATCATCACTTCCTGATTAACTGGCGCCAAATATCAACAGTAAAAACTAAATCTACTGCGATAGAAGAAGCTGCGTCAATCTTTTCTTTATTTAATAAATGTACTAGCGCCTCAGAAGACAATGTTGACACAATGAACATGTAGGAGCGTTTGAAGCCATGAGACTTGGAGAACAGACACTCTTGACACGCTCTGAAGGTCATTAATAATATAATAACATTAATACTGAAACGGTTAAGACATTTAAGACGTTTACGCTCAGCCTGCTGTTTTGTCTACTTACACACATTTTCATCATCATCTATATAATAAACCTTTTTTAATGCACATGGAATTTGTTCAGTAGAAGTGTTTATGCCCATCTTTTCTTAAGAATATAAAGTTTATCATATTCAGTTATGCGCATATGTTTTTTTATGCATATTTTCAAAAGTTATGTGCATCATGACGTTTCCATCAATCATCTTTATGCATATATCCAAGATGAGCATTAAAATAGGTGTGTGGAAACATAAGGCTAAGGTGAGAAATACCGCTTCAACTTAAAAAAAGGGGAGGAGACCGACAGAAACTTCGAGTTTAGAGAATAAATTCTGCTACTGACCAGGTTAGGTTCACAGAGTAAGTTACCACAGTAACTGACTCTGAGTTATTTACCTTTCTTTCAGAAACAGGCTTAACTTACTCTGCTTTCTCCGGTTTGATAAACCTGCCATTTTGAAACGGAAAACCAAGAGCTTCTCTCATTTTAAGGTTAAAATATTCTGAGTTTTCACTTAACCTCCTTTCTGAAACAGGCCCCCGATGTGCAGTTTTTATTGTACTTTTCTATAATAGAAAATAAAATTGTAACTTTTAGCATGTCCACAATAATTTTTTTCTACAAAAAATGATTCAATTCGTATTCAATTAAATTTTGCACAGTTTGTTTGTTTCTTTGAAGATAAGCAGAAAATCAGGATTGATGCTGATATTATAAGTTTTAAAAAAAAATAAATTATATAATAAGTCTGGACAGTCTGGTTTATTGCAAAGTAACTGTTGTGCCCAGATTTCTTCTATATTACAGTTCATTGTCATTTCTAAGTATTTAAGTCATGTCTGCAGTAGTTGTAGTTCACTTGTTTTCACACACATTTCAAATTCATTTAAAATACGTTTTAAGAGGTAAACCTGAGGCTTGAAGCAGCGAACAACTCTGCCCAGTGCTTCATCATTCATGATGCAATTCAACAATCCGACATCTTCATAGAACAGAATATCCACTGTAAGCATATTCATCCCCTGTATAAACCTGCCGCTGTCTGGTACAACTTTATAAGGGTCGGAAGTGTGATGCAGCACCATAAAAATGGCTGGCTTGGATGCTGTTTTGAATAAAGACACAATATGATAAATGTGTGAATAGCATTTGCACTCAAAATACTCATGTGCTTAATCTGGAAGTTACCTGACAATTTATTAAGTTTGTTCAGAGCAGCATCAATGTCAGTTCCTGCCCGTGAAGTAATAGGGCATAAAACCAAAATCACATCACATTGGTTCACACTGTACACCTCCTCTAAATGGCTTCTTTGTTTCAGGAGATGTTTTAAAATCTCCATCCGTAACTTGCCTGTCCTGCCCGTCTCAAGCACATAGTAGTATTTTCCTTTAAGATGAAGAACAGTATGTGTTAGTTTTCCAATATAGCATAAATTTTTTTTCAAATGTAATCAACATTTTTATTTATTATTTAATCAACCTAAAGTGGTTTTAAACCCTTTTGAGATTCTTTCTTCTGTTGGACACAAAATAAATTATTTTGAAGGAACCTGTAACTCTCCGTTTCTATCTGTGACTACAGGTTTCCAGTTTTATTTGAAATATCTTTTTTATGCATGTGTTCAAAAGAAGAAAAAAATTCTGTTTGGGTCAACTATCCCTTCAACGTTTTGTGAAAAGTAATAAATCAAAAAACTGAGAAGACTCTTAAATAACTTAACCTAAAAGTGTCATACAAAAACTACCTCTGAAATTACATACTTCTCTATGATATAGTAGCAGCTAAATAGGTACTGCTGAGTTCAAAAAATAGGCAGAATGATAACATAGCTGACTGTGAAACATCATATTCCATTAATATTAACTTCATCTTAATCTAAAATACATTCCATACTCGGCTATATAAAGTAGTATATAGTAGTTTTTCAGTGGTTGCAAAAGTAATTACACATTTTTTACCTACCGAACAGAGTTTGCGGTTTCTGAAGCAACCAAATACCATAATCCAAAAACTTACCTGTAATCATTTCTGGTTGTGAAAGTTGGTACATTTTCTCTACTCTTTCCACTTAATCAAATCAAATTGACTTCAGTGCTGGTTAACTGTGTGTTGAAAAAACAAAACATAAATTCACTTGATTAAAATTGTTATTATTTTAATTCTTCTTTTTTTTTTTGCATAACAAGAACAATTGAGCAATACAGTATTTACACTGTTTTTGATTAATATCAAAGGAACAAATCATTCATTCATTAATTTTGTTGTCGGCTTAGTCCCTTTATTAATCCGGGGTCGCCACAGCGGGATAAACTGCCAATTTATCCAGCAAGTTTTTACGCAGCGGATGCCCTTCCAACCGCAACCCATCTCTGGGAAACATCAACACATACATACACTACGGACAATTTAGCCTACCCAATTCACCTGTACCACATGTCTTTGGACTGTGGGGGAATACGGAGCACCCGGAGGAAACCCACGTGAACGCAGGGAGAACATGCAAACTCCACACAAAAACGCCAACTGAGCCGAGGCTCGAACCAGCGACCTTCTTGCTGTGAAGCGACAGCACTACCTACTGCGCCATTGCTTCGCCAGGAACAAATCAATAAAGTACAAAAAAAAACTAAAATAAATTAACAAACCATAACAGGGGATAAATTACAAGAAATTTGCATAAGAAATTAAGGTAACACTTTACAATAAGGTTCATTAGTTAATGCATTTACTAACATGAACTAATCATGAACAACACTTGTACAGCATTTATGAATCATAATTGAACATTTACTAATGCATTATTAACATCCAAGTCAATGCTTGTTAACATTAGTTAATGCACCATGAGTTAACATAAACTAATAATGAACTACTGTATTTTCATTAACTAACGTTAAATAACATGAACAAATACAGTAGTAAATGTATTGTTCATTGTTTGTTTATGTTAGTAAAGGCATTAATTAACATTAAGTAATGAACCTTATTGTAAAGTGTGACCGACATGAATTCCAAAATCGTATACATCCTCATAGCTTTTTATGAAAGATCTTTTTTAAGATCTTCTAGGGTTTTTATGTAATGCTTAAGATCAATTTAAAAAAATATATGTTCAGTTTATCATTGGACTATTTTTGTTTGTGTATATAGTATTACCCATAATATCATCATTAAATTTTGCTCCAAAGTTTTGTTTTTATAAATAAAAAATATCTGTAAAAGAAAATTTTTAACTTCGTAAGTGTGTGAATGTTTCCCAGGAATGGGTTGCATGGGCATCCACTGCATGATACATATGCTGGATAAGTTGTAGGTTCATGCCGCTATGAGGACCCCAGATTAATAAAGGGACCAAGCCGAAAAGAAAATGAATGAATGAGTTTATATGTCACTTCATTAACTTTATCGGTGAGACTTTTTACCATTCAATCTGCTCAAATAAGGAATTCCAAAAAATGTTTGAATTTAGGCAACAATGCGGTTCTGAATAATGCTTTTATGTAAAAATTATAGTCTTTAATTTTCACACCATTGATACATAAGTGATTAGAATGTTAAATACTTAATTTAGAGGATATATTACCAGTTGAACAAGTTCAATTGGAATTGCATCAAATACTATTGCAAATTGTCAAGCAGGTATGGGGATCTTGTTGTAATTGAGAAATGCACAATAACTTAAAAGTTGTCCATTACTTTTGTCTCTGCCTTTTTCCTCAACTGTCTCACCAATATAATATCACTACTGTTTCAGTTTCTATAAAATAAGTTTTTTAAAGGTTATACATTTGTAGTTCCACATCAAATTCACTTGATTAGTTGACTGATTAATCACTGGATCAGTTGTCAGTGTATCGACGACCATGAGTCAGTCTGTTGTATTGTGCTGCTCTTAATTGCCCTTTCTGTCGCTGAAAATGTAACTGTTTTAACGCTTTCGATTTCACTCTCTTTCTTTAATCATCTCTAACGATCACATATTAAACAGCCAAATTGTTGCCAAGATCACGTTTTCACAGAGTCGTGCGGTTTTACTCACGTTCTATTTAAACTACTGGCAATGTACAACAATCAGGAATTTTAATAACGCAGCATGCAGTCATTAAACCTAGTATTTTTGTCTACGCTAACAACACACTTTCACACACATATTCTAACATACAGATGATGCAAATAACAAATCTATTCTTTGGCTGCAGTCTGCATGATGCCTACTTACTGTTCCTGCTGCTTGCTGCGTTCTGACAGAATAAAAGTCCTTTCATTTCGTTTGTTTTATCCTTTCATTTCGTGAAAAGGGGTCAGGTGACAGAATGACGATGGCTGCGTCTTACCTATTATTTTACAATGATTTCAGTGTTACTAACAAAGACATTAGGCGAGTATTTATTGATAAAAATAAGGAAAATTTTATTGGAATTTGTTGTTATGGGAGGTTAATTGGAGAAAAGCATGGCTGCTACCATTTTTTTTAGTTATTTATAATTTTGCATTTCAAATAAAGAGAAATTTAATTAAAGATTTTACATAAAATATACCCAACCAATGTGTTACTTTCCAAATTTCCAGATACTGAGAAAGAATGTTCATTTTGTAAAAAGTAAGGAATCCTTATGTCACTTATTTGTTGATTGTCAAATTGTGCAGTTATTTTGGAAAGACTTTCTTGATTTTGAGTTTTTCTAATTATTCTGCTAAAAATAATATGTTTGATAACATTAAATGTAAAATAAATTATTTGTTATTTTAAAAATGATGATAAACTAATTAACAATTTTGTTAGTTTTAATATTTTAAATTGTAAGTTCTTTATCCGTAATTGTAGACTTTCAATTTCTCCTCCTTTATACAAGGTATCAACAAACTTATTCTGTTAATAAAGTCTCTCAAAGCTGTAAAAAATGTAAAAGCTCTGTCTATTGTAAGCTATTATGAATCTGTCTTGTGAATGTCTTCCTTTTGTTTTTGTCTTTTGTTTGTTTACTTATATTTGGTTGGTTTTGTTATTTCAATTATCTATGGAAATTTTGTTTGTTGCCTGTTTTTGCTGTATTTGTAATTTACTAATGATTAAAACAAACAATGATTTCAGTGTTGGTCAATAATCTGTGTAAAATAAAAGCAAGCCTTTTCATTTACACAATACCAAAAAAGATCTTAGCCATGTGTATTACTAATCAGAAATAAATGTTTCATATATTTACAGTTAGATACAAAACATTTTCATGGAAAATGTCCTTTACTTAATGTTTGGTATAAAATAAAAATCTATCATTGTGACTAAAACAATGCATTTTTGGCTATAGCAAAAATATATACCCTTGCACCATAAGACGTTTATGAGGTTTTATAGTGAAGTTTCACAATTAGTTTGCATGAAGTTGCAACTTTCCATTTGTCATTTATGGCAGTGTGACACAATGATAGCGTATGTTTTATTGTGCTGTGATGAAAGTGCATTTGGCTCCAGTGTTCTGTCATTTATTGCAAACTCACCTTTCATCTAAAACAAGTCTGTCAATTCATTAAATTTATTCCTGATTTTAAGAAATGCTGACTACATAGTTATGTTTCCCATTATAGGGCACTTATATAACCACATTTTTAAGTCAGCAAACAACCACAGAAATCCTGTTACAACATCACTGAACAGCTTTTTGATTACACCTTTTTTTCTTTTTGGTGTACAGAGTCTAAACATTTGATTCAGTTTAATTAGATTCAATTGGAGCTCACTTAAATACTGAGTAGCTAATCCATTCAGGGTTTATTTGTAATAAAACAAAATGTTCAGTGCTGACAGAGCCAGTCAAATCAAACCACTTCTTGGTTCTATATGCACTGCTGCTGCTTTTTAGACCAGCTGGCGTTTATTAATTAAGGCTGCAGAGCAACCACATGGTAAATACAGTTATAAAGCTTTGAGGTTATAAATGCATAAATTCCTGCATTAGACAATGAGAGCTTGTTGTAATATATATTCAATATGGAAATGCAACTGTACAGGATTATGGCATATTGTTTTCCTAGGCTAGTGTAAGAATTGAAATATTACAAATATTTTTGATGTCTTTGACAATTCAAAACATGAGCTGAAGACAGGGCCAATGGACTCCACAACCCAGCTGAAAAAGCTTCATCCCCCCAACTCACACATGGTCATTTCAATGTTTGAATGTTCTAGAATTAACCAAACTGACTTTAACCATCATGTTTGATATCATTTGAAATGTCTCAGTGCGATTGGTACAATGGTCTCATTCTCTCAGATAAGACATAATCAGAACAATAAATATATAACTTCAGGCATCTTTTGAACCACTGAGAGGGGTGTGCCACTAAGTGTGAATGCTTTTTGTTCACACCCCCTTCCTTGAGGGAATTCTTGGATTATTTAAGGTAGGGTCCGCGAAGGACTCAGGGCAATTCTGCCTAACCAGATCAGCCCATAACTTGGCTTGTTCCATGTTATGTATATTTCAAAGTCAGGAATGCATCTTTTTCATCTTGGATTTATCTTTGATAATTTGATGTTTTGTATTGATCGTTTATGAATTGACTGATTGAATTCGCATAATACATTTACCTGACTAACAAATTGTTATGTTTTGAGTGATTCAAACAGAGTTCGTGTTATTATCTTTAGTAGATTGTGGTAATTTCATAGCACCACAAGCCCCTGTTCAGGTTAGTAGCGGACTAGAACACGGTAGACGGAGCATTGCGGCACGCTACACGATGTCTCTAGAGCTCCGACTAACAAATTGGCATTTATTTATGTATACTTAGGCTGTAAAAGGATATCTAAGGGGATAGTCCTTCACCCGATAAACTTTTAATACTATTTAGATAGTATAGTGATTATTCAAAGTTACTACTAGTTTAAGTACGACTGGTCTGCTTAATTCTATAGTAATGATCATTATATGACTAAATAGCTCTGTCTGATTTAGGAGGTAGCAGACCTATGGGGACCGCATAAAAAATATCCTAATCTGAGTAAGTAGGGTTCTGCCTTTTTAGGATAGCGGTCAATCGCCACTGTTTAGTGACCAAGACTGGCATGCTTGTGCTTAAGAAATTGTATACTCGGCCGGTACAAGATTCAGGATGTTATAGAGATCCCAATGAACGAGAATAACATAAAATGATGAACCGAAGAGAATATTCAATCATAACCTAAATTAATGTGAACGGAAACAAAATAACCTTTTCAATGTTTTATAATTGGAGTCAGATAAAACGAGAATAAATATATTAATATTCTAATAAACCACCTCATACTAAAATTGGAGTCAGATATGAGTTAAGTTTAATATAAATCAACATTGTGCACTGGAAAGACCGAACATGCAGTGAACCTTCATCCACCAGTGGATACCGTCATTGGACCAACTGGCTGGACCCTACACTAGCAACATCACAATCTGTCTGCCTGTGGCTTTCAACAGATTAAAAGAAGTCTTATATCTTAATTTCATAAAATTTGTTATGTTTTTCAAATCTGAAAAATTACAGTGCAAGCAGTTGTATTTCTTCTATTTAATGGGGAAGTAATATATTGTGCAATGTTTTTTCAAAACTTCAGTTTTCCTCTTTCCCTTTTTTACATTAACATGTGTAAAATCTCTGAAAATTACAGTCACCACAGACAGAAAGGTGCTTGTTTCAGCAGTTTACATATTTTTTTTAGGTTTTTTTATTTATTTTTTTTTAGGTTTTTTTTGTGTGTCCTTTGAAACTGCATCTACCAGTGGTTTATCAAACACATGGATGTTGCCCAAACTTAAGCAGCTAACCTGTTTCCTTAGTAAACTCAGAGCAGCATTTGAATCCAAGTGACGTTTTTAATTGATTTCAGACAGACATCTGACAGTCCGGAGTTGAAATTTTACATAAGTCCCATATATGTCACAAACATATATGTCCCGTGTATGTCAGCAACATGTATGTGCCATATTCCATTCAGTTAAATTCAAGTTTTTGTATAGCAATTTTTACAACAATTATATTGTTTCAAAACAGCTTTACAAAAAGTTAAATACAGACATTAACCTGCAGTCTTTTAGCATAAAAAGATGGCATGCTTTGTGTATTAAGTGTATGTGTTGTCCTGGAAGTCCTCAATGGTTGGCTTCAGAGACGTCACTAGTTGCAAAACAAAAATATACTGCAATATTCAAAAAAAAATTATGCAATACATTAGAAAATATATTTAAATGTATTGGAAACTTCCTCATATATTTGAAAATATATAGCAAGATATTAATGGGCATCCTATATTGATTCATATATTAAAATACAGCACATTGATATACAAACAAAACTCTATTACATTGTTGCATGCATTTTTTATGAGTTAAGCAAGCTCAAGCATAGGTTTACAGAGAGGTTGTTTAACAATTGTCCAAATCAGATTTTTGCATAACATTCATTATATTTTACATTATATAGCCATATGGACGGACAATACATGGCTATGTATTGATTCATATATTGTAAAATGTAGATGAGAATACTTTAAATTAAATTATCATTAACAGCTGCAATTACATTTTGTAATCCACATTTTATTCCTCCACGTCAGACATTTCATCATGAACATGGCAATTCAGTCCTCCACACTGCAACGTAGAGGTATACATGCATAAAGTATGGCATAATGTGGCAGATCAGGGCAGTGGCACAGTAGGTAGTGCTGTCGCCTCACAGCAAGAAGGTTGCTGGTTCGAGCCCTGGGCTCTGTTGGTGTTTCTGTGTGGAGTTTGCATGTGCTCCCTGCGTTCGCGTGGGTTTCCTCCGGGTGCTCCGTATGCCCCCACAGTCCAAAAACATGTTGTACAGGTGGATTGGGTAGGCTTAATTGTCTGTAGTGTATGAGTGTGTGTGTGAATGTGTGTGTGGATGTTTCCCAGAGATGGGGCGTGGCTGGAAGGGCATCTGCTGCGTAAAAACTTGCTTAATAAGTTGGCGGTTCATTCTGCTGTGGCGACCCCGGATTAATAAAGGGACTAAGCTGACAAGAAAATGAATGAATAATGTGGCAGATCAACTACATTTCCTGTTGAATTGCATCACATAAAAAAAACTTTTTCTTCCCCTAAGACCCTTTTCAAGCCAACCACATGAACTTCTCCAACAAGTTCAATATTCCACAATATATAATATAATAATTATATATAACATTTTGTAATATAAATAAATATATATTATTTAAAACATATGTTCTCATATACGTTTGATTATATTATCTTGTACATTGAGGTATATTATCTAATATAGTTTTACATAATATATGGTTTGGCATAATCTCTTCCTATCTCTTGTATCTAAAGCTATATATACACATATTTGCCAGAAACACGTCCCATACAGTATATGTCAAAATCATATGTCTCATATATGCCAGAAACATGTCCATATTTGTAAAACACATGTACGTCTCATATGTGTCTTTTTCTTTTCTGCGACGTCCCTTTTATTATGTAATGTAAGGTGTGTGTATTTATATAGCGCATTTAATGTGTATGGCCATACACCCAAAGCGCTTTACAATCATGAGAGCGGTCTTCTCCACACCACCACCAGTGTGCAGCATCCACTTGGGTAATGCAACGGCAGCCACAGGAAAACGGCGCCAGTGCGCTAACCACCCACCAGCTATTGGTGGAGTGGAGAGACAGTGGTAGAGCCAATTCGGTGGATGGGGATGATTGGGAGGCCATGATCGTAAGGGTCGATTGAGGGATTTTGGCCAGGACACCGGAGTTACACACCTACTCTTTACGAGAAGTGCATGGGATTTTTTTAATGACCACAGAGAGTCAGGACCTGACAATCCAAAAGACAGCAACCACTGACAGTGTAGCATCCCCTTCACTTTTATTGAGATATTAGGACTCACACAGACCACAGGTTGAGTGCCCCCTGCTGTCCTCACTAACACCACTTCCAACAGCAACCAAACTTTTCCCATGTGGTCTCCCATTCAGGTACTGACCTGGCTCAGCCCTGTTAGCTTCAGTGAGTAACCAGTCTTGGGCTGCAGGGTAATAAGGCTGTGGTGCTCAATTACTGTACACCATAGGTCATGGCTATAAATTCATTCATTCATTTATTTTCTTTTTGGCATAGTCCTTTTATTAAACAGGGGTCGCCACAGAGGAATGGACCACCAACTTATCCAGCATATGTTTTACGCATGCAGCGGATGCCCTTTCAGCCGTACCCCAGCACTGGGAAACATCCATACACTGTCATTCACACACATACACTACGTACAATTTAGCCTACACAATTCACCTATAGCGCATGTCTTTGGACTGTGGGAGAAACCGGAGCACCCAGTGGAAACTCACGCGAACAAGGGGAGAACATGCAAACTCAGAAAATGCCAACTGACCCAGCCGAGGCTCAAATCAGCAACCTTCTTGCTGTAAGGGCATCGTGTTACTCCCCCACCGTGACACCTTTATTTTATTTTATTATTTTATATTATATTTTCATTTATTTGAGAACATTAGGAAACAATGTTGTTTGATGCTGACGGTATGGCCATTTACATTTACTGATCGCTTATTATTCGACCATACCTAGGTTTTTCCAGATTTGTTCATAGAGCACCTATAATAGAACTTGTGTTCCAGTTATTCACAGTCTTGCTTTAATAATGTAAAGACTTCCTTAATAGTTCGGGTAGGAGGAAATAGTTATTTTGTCTGCAACACTTATCATATAAACACTCCTCTTACTCTCACAGTACACAGGCTGACAATGGCAGAGTTGACGTACACTGAGAAGTTCAGCAGCAGCTCACAGGATCTTCACTGTGTAATAAATGAGGAGATGAATATCAGACCATGGAAAGGTATTTTATTGCATATATTATGAATGTTTTGCAAAAAGTAAAGGTTATTGAACTGAATGCTGTTAATATTTTTAGTTTAATAATTCTGCATTTCTTACTTTAGGTGCAGTTAGAGCTTTTAAATTCCTTCAAGTGTATTTTGATCATATCAGTAAATTATGTGTTATAATGTAAATTAAATTAACATTTAAATATTTTATATTTTAAAAATGCATATTCTGAGTACAACTCCAAATCAGAAAAAGTTGAGACAGTATGTAAAACGCAAATAAAATAAAGAAAGAAAGGATTTCAATGCAGACAATAGAACAACACATTATTTAATGTGTTACTCATGATTTTTTTTTAATAAACACACACTCCAATTTTGGAATAAATTTTTAAAAAGTTGGAACAGTAAAGCATTTGCCACTTTGTAATGGTGCCATTCCTTTTCAAAACACTTAAAGGACATTTAAGGACTGAAGCCACCAAGTGATGTAGTGTTTCAGGTGTAATTTTGTCCCTTTCTTCCTGCAAACAAGTCTTAACAGTACGGGGTCTTTGTTGTAGCATTTTGTGTTTCCGCTTCCTAAGCAGCCAGGGCTTTGCAATGTGTGCAGATTGTGGTTTTACACATTGTCTATCTTTTTGAAATATGCATGGGCGTCCATGGAAAAGAAGGCAGCTTATTGTGCTCCAAAACCTTTATGTATTTAGTGAAGTTTATGTATAAACAAATTTCGAGAGGATCACGTGCTTATGATTGCTAGCAGCTGACCCGCATTATCCAATTCACTACTATCCAATCAGATGACTCCTAAACTACTATAAATACCCTGGGGTTTATTCCATTGCTATCTTCGTTTTGAAGAGGCAGCTTCACCGTAGCTAGCTCCGTTGAAGAACCTACTCTAAATCAGCATGGACAACCAAAGCATCTACAAGCTATCACCTACCAGCTATCACCTACCAGCTACAATCTACCAGCTACCATCTACAAATTACCAGCTATAATCTACAAGCTACTAGCTATAATTTACAAGCTACAATCTACAGCAGCAACAACAACTGCAACAGCAACAACAACTGCAGCAACAACTGCAGCAACAACAACTACTACTTCAAAACAACTCCAACAATTGCATCAACGACTTCAACAAACATCAAACCTTCTACTTCAACGCATCTGCTGTGTCTTCAACCCTATTCTCCAGCAAATGACAGCCAAAAACTCCAAAGCCATTGCAATGAAACTGAACCATTACCTTTTTCCTAGCGGTGCACATGCTATGCACATGAAGAGAAGCTTTGCAAAATAACTTTACCAAACATTTAGACTAAAACATTTATAAATCTTTTGAATAACAAGACTAGTGTAAATAATGATTTTAACTAAAGATACTTGCCTCTTGCCCGTCCACTGATCCATAACATTTAACAGCTTGTTTGCTGGAATGTTCAGCAAGCAACAGCTCAAGTCATAAACAATGGTGAACTTGATCAACAAAATGGCCGCCGGGCTTTTTCACCTTTGGCACGCTTGACTGGCTCTCCTTTAAGCCAATAGCTGTAAGGAGAAGCGTCACCACCCAATAAGCTCTCTGGAGAAGGTCCTGCCCTCTCTCTTGACTCTGTTGCAAGTCTTATGAATGAATTTGGACCAGACAAGCTTGTGAATGAAGTTAAGATACCAACAAATGTTATTCATGGATTAAAGTAAAGTTGTAAGTGGTAAGTGGTGACATCGCCCTCGAAGTCTTATAGAGTTCAGAGTTTGATTTTAGCAATTAAAAAAAAAAAAAAAAAAAAAAAAAAAAAAAATTTATACACAGAGCACTGGGGTCCAATTACACTAGACCAGTGACTCATTTATTCATACACTAGTGTCTTATGTAAGCTTATAATGGCAAGTCAGTTGGATGTGAAACAGCAACAAACAACTTCCTGATTGGCTGCTATGAATAGGAGGACATTTCTGACAACGGATCTTCAATAAACACTTCCAGGACCACCAGACAAACCATACCCCTTATCCTCAGCTCTCCTTCCAGTTGCCATTCTGTGGGGGGATGAATGCTCACCTCTACCATCCTTGCACGTAGCGACATCAAGCTATCAGACCATGCATTAATAAAAATACCATGACATTTGGCTGCAGAACCTGACCCTCATCCAACCCATTACATTTTATATGCTCTTCAAATACAATCACACTCTACATAAAGGATGCATTTCCACTCACAAAGCTCACATCCACGATGCCATATTTCTCAAATTGCTTGAATTGCATTGTCACCCTGATACTAACTTCTGATTTCTGATTTCAGATCTAACCCAAGGATCTAACCTGGGCGTTTCAGCTCTCCCTTCCTTAACCTTATTCTGCTCCAATCTACAATCTGCGACTACCGAACCTGCAACAGTGAATCGATAATAATCTCATGATAGTACTATTCTTGCCCCACTGTTCAGCGTTCTTGTATTAGTCCCATTGACATTGCGACTTGAGAATTCTCTAGCAAAAACCCTTGATTATTGCTCCTCACAATTCTATATTCCTAGCATTAACAGCACCATTCCATCAGACGATGACTCGCTGAATTATCATGATATAGACCAAGCAATTTCGCTCATCAGTTTAGCCGGCCGCAATGCTTGGCTTGCAAAAATCGACATTTCATCCGCCTTTAAAATCATGCCAATTCACCCAGACTTCTGGCACCTTTTTGGCATTCATTGGCGCTCACAATTTACTTTGCAGTCCGATAAACTTTCGGCTGCAAAAGTAGTCCTAAAATTTTCGATATGCTTAAGAAGCATTATGCTGGATTTTATCTAATAACTACGAAATCCCGCATATCATCCATCTCCTCAATGATTTTCTCCTTATTTCCCTACCTTCTTCACCCCCTGCTAAACACCTATCGATCACCCAAAAGGTTTTCGAAAATCTAGGCATCCCCCTCGCAGAGGAGAAACAGCCGGTCCCAGCACTTCCATAGAATTTCTGGGCATCAACTTAGATTCGAATAAATTTCAAGCATCCCTTCCCAAAGAAAAGATCGTCCGTATAATCTCTTTATCTCAAAATTTCCTCGAGAAACCATCATGCACCAAACGCGAACTGCTATCTATTCTCGCGCATTTCAATTTCATAATTCCTCAAGGCCGCCCGTTTATTACTCACCTCCTTCAGCTCTCCTCCTCGGTCCCCGGTTTAGAAGATACCATATATCTTTCTAAACCCAGTCGCAATGAACACAGCTTATGGATCTCCTTCCTTAAGCAATGGAACGGCTGTTCCTTTTTCTATAGCGACCTAATTTCTTCCCCGGTGGATATTAATTTATTCACTGACCCTGCCCCCCCAGTCGGGTTCGGCGGCTTTTACCAAGGTCACTGGTTTACTTCAACGTGGCCCCCGCAGATGCTCAGTCTACCCAGAAATCAGCAATCATCTGCGCTTTCGAACTCTACCCCATAGTCGCAGCAGCGCTTTTATGGGTAAATGAATGGTCCGCCTCTAGCATTCTCGTTCATTGCGACAACGAAGCCACCGTTTATTGCATTAATAAAGGACGCTCGCACGCACTTCCAATTATGCCCTTAATAAGACGCCTCGTTTGGACGGCAGCCAAAAAGCAATTCATTATGACTGCTAGACATGTTCCAGTTTGCAAAAAATCAAATTGCTGATTCTCTCTCTCACTTTCTTTTCCAGAAATTTCGGCTCTTGGTACCGGAAGCAGACCAGCATCCAACACCTGTTCCACTCTATTCACAAATGATATTGCCATAAAACTTCCATATCCCTGATCCTTCACGCTGTCGCACCAAGGACCCTTGAGTCATATTCAGAAATGGCTATCACATCCAATTTCAATCCCGCAATACACCCCACTATATCTGTTCTAACACTGCTGAATGCTGAAACACTCGCCTTTTTCATTAAGCAAGCAAAACAGATCAGACAAGCAAAGGGCATTTTATTTACATATTTAACATTTTTCCCCCACACAGCCATTCCAAACTCTCCTAGCCTTTCTCCATTCAAGGAGAGCAAAGGAGTCAGACCCACATGCGCCACTTTTTACTGATGACGCTAACCATCCAGTAACCCGTTTTTGGTTTCAAAAACATCTGAAAGAAGTCCTTCGCCTTTCGGGCGTTCCCCCGAATTGTATTCCAGCATTCATTTAGAATTGGCGCAGCTACCACAGCAGCTCACAAAAGTCTATCCTCGCACCAAATCCAGACCCTAGGCCGCTGGTCCTCCGATGCCTTCAAAGCTTACATTCGCCTCAGCCGATCCCACCTCAAGACAGCCCAGCTAGCCCTAATCAGCTAAATTCCAAACTCCAACTAGGGGTACAAGCTCGACCCTAAGTAGGCTGGAGTACGTGTGCGTGTGTGCTTGTGTACGGGTGCGCATGGGAATGTGTGAGGTTGCTCGCGCAGATACAGCGTGCGTTTGCACACGTATACATGCTTATTTGCACGTGGATATGTATATGGGTGTGGGTGTACGTCTAGGTATGCATATGCACGTGCAAGCAAATGAGTATGTGAGCCCATGGGCATTACATGTTGTGCAGCTTGCATTTATGCTATCAACTTTCCTTTCAATCTGCTATGCTCCTTCTCTCACCATGCTCTGACCCCCGCAGGGGTCCAATCTGAGCTTTGACTCTCGCGAGTCACCCCTAGCCCATCCCCGGCCACCCCTTCACTACCACCTCCAGTAAGAGCCTGCACTACCCCCTCCCTCTTCCCGACTCTTACTGCCCCCCCCCCCCCCATAGCTCTGACCCCCGCAGGGGTCGCGCTGAGCTTCGACTCTCGCAAGAGTCACCATTTGCGCCGCCCCACCCAGGCCATTAGAAATGGTATGTATGCGCATGTTATACGCATACATCCGATGTATACCTGTTCCGATGCGTGTGCATGCACATGCCGAAACAGGAATAGACGCACGTGCATGCTCACGCACGCAGGTTATTCCCTCTCTCCTTTTCTTC